AAGCCCCCATAAGTCAGCCCTATTCTTAAAAAAAACGAGTTAATATTAATGTACAAACATCTCCCAAAGTGCTAAAGAGGAGGACAAGTGAAAAATCGATGACTGACCAGTAAGCTCCCTTTCTCCGTTTCGACTCTTTATCCTCCTTATATTCAAGAACTTTATGGTCTTGCTGTCTTGGTATTCAGCATCTTCATAAAATACTAGTGATTTTTGGAAAGTTTAAACTCCCTCTTAAGCAGTTATAAAGTGAAAGTTTGGTTTACCAATGATTTTTTTAAAGAAAGAAAAAGTGAAAAAGGATATCAAGGAAAGAGGAAGAAGAGGAAAGGAAAAGAAGGTAAAAACAAAAACAGCAGAATCAGAAATGAGAAAAGACATGAAGATAGAAAATTTTCCAGGCACTGAGAAAATGGAAATCCCTCACAATATTGTTATTCTCTTACTTAAAGAAATGATAAGACAGGTTTCATATCTTGCAGCCCTATTTATCACTAGAGTAATACTTTTACAATTTTTATTAATATAAAGAGAACAGATTTTATCCATTTCATAGGTACAGTTCTCAGAAGATAACCATACTCCCTCCCACCCTCCCTCCCCCAATCCGCTTCCCTTCCTCCATTTTCATTAATTTTTGTAAAGACATAATTTTTAAGAAAGAAAATATTTTAAAAGTCTGAAATTTATGCCCCCAAACCAATAAATATAATAATATCCAGATGCTCATCATATTGCATTGTAATAAATAATAAAAAATCTAATGTTACTCATTTCTGTCCTCTTTCTCATAATATTTTATTGTAACAGAGTCTATGGAATCTACTCCTTTAGAATGCAGAATTCATTCATGTTTTGTCTTGTTTTGTCTTAGCACTGTCACAATCAAATGTAGGTAAGTTCCTTTAGTTATCTTCAATTCTGCTAGCACTTAGACTCATTTTGTTGTATTGACATTTTTTAAAATGCCCGGACTTCTTCCACTGAAGTACAGCATAATCTTGGGCTTCAGATTGCTCTAATTTCTTTGTACTACATAACCAAATACCTCAATATTACCCAAAAGCATGGAAAGTGAGTTTAAAGTTTCTAATGTCTTATTATAATGGCATATTGGCAAGAAACAGACCAATTTCCACACTTCAGAAAACAAAGAAAAGAAGCATGAGAGCAAGGAGTTAGAAAAATGAGATGAGAATAGAGATGATGCTTACAGTATGAGAAGTTAATGGAGATACGTCTCTCCTGCGAATTTCAAAGCTTTTATGCCTGCTAGTCTCTTACTGCCTCCAACTGCAGCTGATGCTCAGATTTTGGTTCCCCTAGAAGCTCCCCAACCAAAAGGAATGTGTAGACAACCACACAAACTTCTTTGTATTTTTTTTAGAACAAAGGGCTAAGCTCCTATTTCCAATGGCTAATTCTTTTTGATGTGTCAAAGAGCTGGAGACTATTTCCTCACCAAGCTGAGCTCTTGCTCCTTGCCTTCCCTCCCCTCCTCATCACTGAACATTTTATCTGAAAATAAAGATCTTTGAAAAATGAGAAACGCACTGATCAACAGAAGAAAAAAAAAGATTAAGATGGTTTCAGCTGGCAATAATAGCTTCTTTAACATAAAAAATATGAGGGAAAAGAAAAGGTGTAAAAGAGTGGCAGTAGGAGTGAAGAACAAGGAGGGGTTATAATTAAAGAACAACAAGTTTATTTGACTTAATATTTAGGGATACTGCAGATAAGAAAATTAAAATTCAAGGACCTTGTTTAACCTGGTCAAGGGGATATAATTAGTAAAAATATGATAAAGCTGTACTAGTCTTCAACTCCAAGTCCTATGTTTTTCACTACCTCCAGTGAATTCAAAGTATTTTTTAAAACAAAAGTTTTCATTTCAAGGAATTTAAGAAATCATATGAATTTTAAAACACATTACTTCAATTTTTAAATGCAATTTGAAAATCCTAAAATAAATGAATCTAAGTCTCAAAATTATTATGTTAGTCCAAAACTAAGCTTATCTCATGAATCAGGATATTTATTATATACAAATATACTAATCTTTTTTTTTTAATTTTTGACAGGCAGAGTGGACAGTGAGAGAGAGAGAGAGACAGAGAGAGAAAGGTCTTCCTTTACCGTAGGTTCACCCTCCAATGGCCACTGCCGCCAGCACACTGCGCTGATCCGAAGCTGGGAGCCAGGTGCTTCTCCCAGTCTCCCATGCAGGTGCAGGGCCCAAGGACTTGGGCCATCCTCCACTGCACTCCCAGGCCACAGCAGAGAGCTGGACTGGAAGAGGGGCAACCGGGATAGAATCTGGTGCCCCAACAGGGACTAGAACGTGGTGTGCCGGCACCACAAGGTGGAGGATTAGCCTATTGAGCTGTGGCGCCGGCCACAAATATATTAATCTTAAAGTGTGCCCTTAAAACTACAATGCTCGATATTTTATTATTATTATTATTTTTATTTTTGACAGGCAGAGTGGACAGTGAGAGAGAGACAGAGAGAAAGGTCTTTTTTTGCCATTGGTTCACCCTCCAATGGCCACCACGGCCGGCGCGCTGCACTGATCCGAAGCCAGGAGCCAGGTGCTTTTCCTGGTCTCCCATGGGTTGCAGGGCCCAAGCACTTGGGCCATCCTCCACTGCCCTCCCTGGCCACAGCAGAGAGCTGGCTTGGAAGAGAAGCAACCGGGACAGAATCCGGTGCCCCAAGCGGGACTAGAACCCGGTGTGCCGGCACTGCAAGATGGAGGATTAGCTTATTGAGCCACGGCGCTGGCTCGATATTTTATTATTTTTAGTTAAAACAGATTTTTATTGAGCTTTGCCGTATTTTCTTATAATTAAGTCATAGAAAAGATAATGTACTAAAAGAACAAAATGAAACATATTTAGGTTGCAATGTACTAGACAACAAACTCAGATCTTCATTTTCTCTTGTAAAATTTGTAGGGGACCCAAATGGGACAGCTTTGTAGTAAAAGTCATTTAGGGGCCGGTGCTGCGGCTCACTAGGCTAATCCTCCGCCTTGTGGCGCTGGCACACCGGGTTCTAGTCCCGGTCGGGGCACTGGATTCTGTCCCGGTTGCCCCTCTTCCAGGCCAGCTCTCTGCTGTGGCCCGGGAAGGCAGTGGAGGATGGGCCAAGTGCTTGAGCCCTGCACCCCATGGGAGACCAGGATAAGCACCTGGCTCCTGCCTTCGGATCAGCACGGTGCGCCAGCCGCAGCGCACCGGCCACGGTGACCATTGGAGGGTGAACCAAGGACAAAAGGAAGACCTTTCTCTCTGTCTCTCTCTCTCTGTCCACTCTGCCTGTCAAAAAAAAAAATTCATTTAGAAGGAAAAGAGCTCAATGAATTGCAACTGATATGGCTAAGCCAATAGCAAGCAATTTAAGGTTTACCTGGAAATTAAATTTATCCCCCATTTATACCATAAGACTTAACAACAATGTGAATGTATATAATGCCACTGTACACTGTACAATAGTTAGATGATAAATATTATTTATCACAACAAAAAACATAAACTGAAAACTAGAGGGATATTAAAAATAATAAGGATAAGAAATTTTGTAGCAGAAGAAAAAGTTAACTGTACTACTAAACAGATGACAGAGATAGTCCCAGGTCTGCTTCTGACTTATTTTGTACTTAGACAAGACATGTGTTTAGTTTTTTCATATGTAAAATTTAAAAATTAAGCATACTCATTTCATAAATTCCTTAAAACTCTGATACTTCCTAGTTCTGGCTACAATAATTATGCATGTTTTCATTTATCAGAAAAAGAGATGAGGTTTCCAAGCTGATAGGGAAAAAACAAGTAGGAGAAAATATATAAAAGTCGGAAGGAAGGAAGAAAATATTGGCAAAACCAGTTATCTAACAAATATATTGAGGCTTACACTATTCTATTTGTTGTGTGAACAAGATATTGTCCCTGCTTCATAAACAGCATAGATTCTTGTGAGGTAAGACAGAAAAAAAGCTGTAAACAAACAACAAAATAATGTCCAAAATAAATTCTATAGAAAAGATAAATTAGGATAATGTGATAGAGCAAGATCTTGACGTGGGACTCTATAGGAGTCTTAGATTAGTCTTTAGGAGTCTTTTCTTTTATAAGAGATGAGAAGAAATCTCTCTGAGGAGATATTTCAACTGACATTTGACTGATAAAAAGGTGGCAGCCCCATGAGAGTCTCAGGGACGTGCATAAGATACTTATGTAATATATGACCAACCCACACTGCAGCTGGCACAGAGGATTTGATGACCCATGGGGGGAGGAGTGCGAGGGCTTCTCTCTGATGTTTCTCTGCAAAAGGGGATTAACCTGGATGCTTTTAAGCAGCTGACTTTAATGAATCTTGAGTGTGTGAGTGTGCCCAGTTAGCACAGTTCACAAGGGAACTAAAGAAATTTCCAGTTGTTTCTCCACCATGAACCCTTGGTGCGTAGAGACTTTGTCTTCTCTGGTTGCCTCTTTCTACACAGGCCTTAATTCTAGAATGTCAGTTTTTTGCCTTCTTAGCAAACCTTATCCTACTTTTTGTGACTTCAAGCTGAAAGAACCAAGAACACAGGCATCAGTTTTTAATTTATACTCATTGTGTCATTAAAACTTGAGCTAAAAAATTATTAAATTCTATCCCTTTTGGACATTAAAGATAATCCCAATGGAGGATGAGAATGAATGAACTTCATGTAGCCATTTAGGAGCCAATGTAAGTAACACAAATGCTCAAACATTCTCCACTGAAAATAGTGGGGAGTTGCAACTATGTTAGTTCGTACAATTACTGTTACTATTGAAATTAGTACCACTGAAATTAAATCACTTTTTAGTGAAACATTACAGAAAGAGGAGAAAATGTGATGAGTATGGAGCAAAGTTCACTGAATTTATAGTCAGGAAGATTTGAGCCAAAAATTGTATACCTTTTTACATATGCAGGCACAGCCATTTTCTCTCTCAGTCTTTCTTATATTGCCTTTCTTTGGGTTGTGAAGCTATTATGGAGAGCAGACTCTCCAAACTGGAAAGATAAAGAAAGAAATGAGAGAGAAATAGAGGAGAAAAGGAAAAGGTGATGAATGAAGTGGGAATATCAAGTAAACCTGGACTCGTAAAAGCCTTCACTCCTGGATAATGTCCAAAGAGGAAGAATATGATCTCATTTGTAAATGTGGAAAGTTCACGTGCCTACTGGAGGATGGAGAATCTAATATATTCTGAATACACAATTTCTGGAAAAAATATAGAAAATGGATAGATTATTTAAACCACCAAATATAGACTGATTTGAATGTCTGTTATTGTTCTTTAGCTTTACCTCAAGGATCCGTGAGTAAGTTTTTATTCTTGTTTCAAAATATGGAATTGTTGGGCTCCTACCCAAGGCAGAAGACCTCTGCCTGTCATATCTGTTTCTTGCTATGTATAAGTGACAGAACTTGAGGCTCCTGACTCCCTTATCTTGTTCTTCATTAGTCATCTTCTACACTTTTCCCAACTTTATCATTTTCTTCCTCTATAAGTCTGTTAGACACCCTTCCTTGCTTAAGGAAATTCTTCTACTCGCCTTTGGCTACATAATCTCACCCTACCTTACATCTTCAGCAGTCATAGCATCTCTCTTTTCTATCTTTACATTTTTTCCATCCTTTAACTTGTTTTCCTTAAGGTATGGAACAGGTCTGATTCTCTTCCATCCCAAAAGGATCCTATCTGTACTAGTTCTTCCAAGCTATGGGCTTGGAAAAAAAGTTATTGCTCACCTCTTAGCTGAACTACACACTATTCTTCCATGAACTAAGGGTAGTATAAGAAGGAATAAGGCCTCCTAGCACTTTTAAAATAAATTCAGTTGCTGATTAAAGTATTTTAAAAATACAGATAACCATTTCCTAGCAGTAAAGCATGCAAGCTCTAAAGCCAGGATGCCACTCTGTACTTAAAGTTATTTAAACATATGCTAGTTACTCAATATTCCATGAATTTTTAAGTGGTTACATAACTATGGATAATCTCATCAGCCAGTTGAAAACTAATAAAAAAGATAGAAGAACAAAGAAATGAGGAAACTGGAAGAAACTAATGGAAAAGGAGAAAAAACTAGGATTGTAAAGTTCAAATAAATCTCCTGGAATTGATTTCAACTGACTGTCAAACAAACAATACATTTTCTAAATGAAGGAAAGATCTAAAGGTAGTACAGTAAAATGAGGAAATCAGGGATAAACCAGAAACAGATAATCTTGGTTGGACAGTCCTTTTTTTCCCAGAGCTACTGCTTTTGGGAAATTTTTTCATATTGAATATTACATTTTTGGTTACAAACTATGGTCATATTTCCTTCTAATAAAACTGTTTCTTGTTAAAGATGGAACAAATTAGATCATAATTCTCTCTCAAATGTATCATAACTTCAAAGTGTTGAATAAGTTTATTAATCATAGTATTTTATTTTTATTAATATAAAAAGAACAGATTTCATGCAGTCCATAAGTACAGTTCCAAGAAGACAACCATACTTCCCTCCTACTCCTCTCCTCCCAATCCCCCTCCCTCTCTCCACTCTCTTCCTTTCATCAGTTGTTGTAAAGACATAATTTTAATCCACTCTATGTTTACAGTCTCAATTCACCACTAACCATAATATTCAACAAGCAAAAGGTAGTAAGAACACAGTTCCACAGGAATATAAACAAGGGATAAAATCAATAATTATATTACAAAATGTCCATTTCATTCCTATACATTTTTGTATTCTATATTAACTGCCACATATCAGAGAAAACATGATATTTGTCCTTTTAAGACTGGCCAAATTATTGTTTTTAATTAGATGTGATCCAACCAAATGTGTCTAACTCAGGCCACAGTCCATATGATGCTGATCTCACATGGCACTGTTGTACTTTAAAGTATATATGGTATCCACTTAGAATCCTTCCTCTCTCAAAGTACATAGAGCTACCAAATTAGTCATTGTTGCCCCAATGTCACCTGCAGATGTAGTTTATTTTTGACTAAGTCTTTTAATTTTGGTTTTTATTTGCCTCTCCACTCTGAAAGTTAAAAAATGAATACTTTCATAAAGTTTTTAATTATAATCACTGAATATTTCTCCATATAACATTTCTAACAGAATTTTTCAACTTTTCCATCTGTTATTACTGCTGATTTTTTACTGTACCGTATAGTGTGACAAATGATACAATTTCCATGATAAAAATGAGGAAATTCCTGTTCAGAAGATTTAGTGACTTGCCCAAAGTTATATAATTTCAGAAGAGCAAACAGGAAGTTATTTGCACCTCACAGCTGGGAGGAGGGAATAGGATTATGTACATTTCCTGGCTTCTCAAAGTCTAAATCATAAGATGATAACTGCCAATTTTTTATTATAGGTCATACAAAGTGTATAAGAGCAGCTCAAGAACCTCTGTGTAAGTTTCCCATATTTACAACTCAGTTCTTCTCTTCGACTTTTCTACACAGTGGCCACTATTAGAGTATTGGGGAAGGTGATGAAGAGGAAATGAAAATGAATTAAGGAAAGGAGAACAACTGGCTGCTTTAATGTTCTCCCTTTATCAGTGTAATGTATTAAAATAGGTTTCCAGATCCTCTAAAGTAACTCATTTTTTTATTTAACAAAGTGGAAACTCTGCTAATAAGAACTGAATTAACTTAAAGGTATAAGAAAAGTCCTGGGGATCAATGGAGTGATTTATCAGAACTAAACTTGTAGAAGGATTTGATAGAATGAAGGTAGCAAAACTTGAGAAACAGAAAAACACTGAAAGGCATACGACCTTATCAGTCTCTTAAGCAAAAATAAGAATACAGACTTAACTTTTTTTTGCCTTTCCATGAAAATATAATATGCAGTAAATACTTTTTCTGAAATTACCTAAAAATGAACATCCTTGAATTATGCTCTCTCAGTTCTTACTTTTGTCTTTGTATTTTAGCTGGTGCTGTGGGACCCATCAGTAAGTTTTTTCCACTATATTTTAATTCCATGTGCTTTGCTTTGTTACACTGTAAGAGTATGTAAGACACTTATATTCCTAGATGTTTGTATTTCCATCTGTACAAATGGTAAATTTTTCCCCTACATCATTCTCCACACCTTTTTTACTGTACATTTTTATGGGTTCCATGTGATACTATATGCATTCAATGTGTAATGAACAAATGGGGTTTGTTAGCTTTTCAACTTCCTTAAATATTTTCAAGTTTTTTCATAAACGCATGATAGTGGCACATACTGTGGGTGTGGATGTAGAATATGATTTTTTTTTTTTTTTTTTTTTTTGACAGGCAGAGTGGACAGTGAGAGAGAGAGACAGAGAGAGAAAGGTCTTCCTTTGCCGTTGGTTCACCCTCCAATGGCCGCCGCTGCAGCCGGCGCACCGCGCTGATCCTGGCAGGAGCCAGGAGCCAGGTGCTTTTTCCTGGTCTCCCATGGGGTGCAGGGCCCAAGCACCTGGGCCATCCTCCACTGCACTCCCTGGCCATAGCAGAGAGCTGGCCTGGAAGAGGGGCAACCGGGACAGAATCCGGCGCCCCAACCGGGACTAGAACCCGGTGTGCCGGCGCCGCAAGGTGGAGGATTAGCCTATTGAGCCACGGCGCCGGCTGAATATGATGTTTTAATAGATATACATTCTCTATTCTTACATTAATGAACTGGGGTACCTCTGTAAGAAAGTACCATCACTTATAATTTTTCCAGAATCTTGAGAATCAGCAGTAAAGAGAAAAGTGTTAAAAACAAGAGTTGTTGAGAGAAAGGTCAGAAGGTTCAGCTGCTTGAAAAACCAGTAACACTCAGAGGAAGAAGCTCAATAGTAATCACTACTCAAGACCCACAGAGTATCAGTGACACACAGTGAGCTGAGCTGAGTCCCAGCTCACTGAGTGAGGGTCTCCAAGTTATCACTGATGGTTATATGGGATCTATATGCCCTGTTATGAAAAAGTATAAATCGGGAAGAAGTGTTCATCCAGATAAATTTGAGGTAATAATACTAAATATATCAGGCAGAAGCACTAGGAGGAAATAGAAAGTGAGGGGTAAGGGAGATGCAGTTGGTTGAGAAAGAAGAAAATATAAATGGGGACAGTGATGCACAAGCCATGTGATACTTCACTAGCCCTGTATGGCCTAGTCTCTTAGAGTCCAATGGCCTGCATTAGCATATCCTTAGAATGTGTGAGATGCAAGATCTCAGCCTAACTCTTATCACTGACCTACTAAATTTAACTCTGCACTCTATCAAGATCCCCAGGTGATTTGTGTGTGCCTTAGAGCTTTATAACAAAGTGCAGAGATTTTAATCCTCTGCATTACAAAGAAAGTAAAAAAAATAAAAAAAAAAAATAAAACACAAGCATCTGAGTGAGCCTGGTTCAAGTTAACCAATCTTTTTATTGCTATGCAAAATTCCTTTTCATCCTCCATGCAAAAGTAACATTAAAATCAGTAAGAAGAGCTGGCGCCATGGCTCAATAGGCTAATCCTCCACCTGCGGCGCCGGCACATTGGATTCTAGTACTGGTCGGGGCGCTGGATTCTGTCCCAGTTGCCCCTCTTACAGGCCAGCTCTCTGCTGTGGCCCAAGAGTGCAGTGGAGAATGGCCCAAGTCCTTGGGCCCTGCACCCACATGGGAGACCAGGAGAAGCACCTGGCTCCTGGCTCCTGGCTTCTGATCAGCGTGATGTGCCGGCCACAGCGTGCCAGCCGTGGAGGCCATTGGAGGGTGAACCAATGGCAAAAGGAAGACCTTTCTCTCTGTATCTCTCTCTCACTGTCCACTCTGCCTGTCAAATAAATAAATTAATTAAATAAATAAAATAAATTAAAAAAAATCAGTAACAAGAATGATGAAACTTACCAGGGCTTAATTCATTTCTTAATGCATTTCTATCCATCACTTCTGAGGATACTCAGAGCATGAGCCCCTGGAACAGGGCTAGCCCTAAAGGGAAGAATAAACAGAATGATTTGCAGGTTGGAAATCATATACCACACCTGTGTCTACTCTTCTACGAGTACTTATACACATGAAACAGGATCAAAATAATCAGAATTCAAACTTCAAAAGCAAATACTGACAAGACATCACAAATAATGGAGTTCACCAAGTGTATAGAGGTGACATTGTGTGTGTGAGTGTGTGCACAAGCATGTGTGTAAAAGAGAAGACTATTATTTCCAGGCATGTGATTCTAACGTCTCATCCCTTAACCCACTAACCTTACCAATGAAAGTCTTGAAAATTTAAGTAGTAGTTTCTATAACCTCATATAATAAGATATTCCAAGCCAAGTTACTCTGTTGAATAAGTGCCAAAATCACCACAAAGACAGGAATTTCCACTGCCCCCTTTAGAAGATGGGTCTATAGCTTCTAGCCAACAATTTCAAATTAGCCCAGGTAGAAGAAACACTGTAATTGACTTGTTACCGGAGAAATTGGAGGGTTCTTGTCTTCGTGCAAGAAAGAATTCAGGTGTGAGACAGAGAGTACTAGGAGGTAAAATAGCAAGGTTTGTTAGGGAAGGGACATCCATAAGGATGGATGGGCACCTGTACAGACAGAGCCTGAGAGACTGGGCGGGGAGGGACGGGTGGAGGTTACATGGTTGAGTGGAAAGATTACACCTGGCCAGACCAGGCAGGTGGCTCAACAGAGAGGCAGAGGGCTGAGCGCGCAGTCCGGTTGAGGCCGGGGGTTTTTAAGGAGATGGGTCTTTGTCTTCACACATCTCCTCCTGAAACAAAGGATTTTATGACTTTAAATATTAAGAAGCTCCTATCTGAGTTTTGCCTTGAAGGTATCAGACAGGAGGAAGCCTAGCTGGTGCCATCCTGGGTTCAGAGGAAGGGTGAGCAGGACCCTCTAGAGAATGGGGATCCGGAGCAGGGTGTTCGAAATGCAGATACTGGGCTGCACCTGGGAGATTGTGGAAGATCTGTCAGGCAGAAGGGGCGGAGACCTCCACCTGGCAGGTTATCAGGTAGAAGGGGGCAGGGCAGGATGCGAAGGCTGGGCTGCCCCTGAAACATTGTCAGGCTGACTTTGAGATGCAGATGCATATGCTGGACATAGATGTCTTCTCTTTAGGCCTTTATGTTACACACACATAAACTCATAACTGACTTTCTACCTAACAGACTGATAAGGTTTCTTCCCCATCCACCAGGGAAGGAAACTTGATCACTGCATACCAGCAGTTCCAGGTATAAGATCCAAACAGTAACTGGGGTCCCCCAAGGTGAGGAATGAAACATTTATAATATTTGTTCTAGTAAAGTAGAAATGTTCCTGCTGATTTCTGATGTTTCTCCCGAAAAAAAAAAAAAAAACTATATTTACCTGTACCAAAGAACCATTCTAATTCTGTTTTGTTTTCTTGTATTTTAGGTGGAACTATTGGACCTATAAGTGAGTTCCTCTTCTACTCCCTAATTCTAATGTTCCTGGGCCTTCTGTGGCATTGGAGGCCCTTTCTACACTCTGTCTGCTTCCATTTCTACACTGAAGGATTTCCCACTCATGCTTCTTGACTGAATTTAAATCTCTTGACAACTTGAGATGCCCAAGACATTAGACAAAATGCCCTGAGATGTCACTGAGTTTAAGACAAAGGAAGGCCAAATAATTCATACTTTAAATTATTTTATTATTTTTTTAAGATTTATTTGTTTATTTTAGAGGTAGAGTTACAGACAGAGAGAAGGGGAGATAGAGAAAGGTCTTCCATCCTCTGGTTAACTCTCCAAATAGCTGCAACAGCCAGAGCTGAGCTGATCTGAAGCCAGGAGGCAGGAGCTTCTTCCAGGTCTGTCAAATGAGTTAAGGGGCCCAAGAACTTTGGCCATCTTCCACTGTATTCCCAGGCCATAGCAGAGAGCTGAATCAGAGGAGTAGCAGCCAGGATACAAACCAGCACCCATTTAGGGTGCTGGCGCTATAGGAAGAGGTTTAGCCTACTGCATCACAGCGCCAGCACCTTATTCTAGTTTTAAAAATTATTTATATTCCTCCTTTAAGATGGATACTGCATGATTTTATATATAGGAAGATTATGGGACTTCCATGCTAAAATTATATCCAGTCCTGTTTCAGTTATTCTCTGGGCTGAGTTGCTTCATAGAGAGAATATTTGTGACAGGAAACCTGTTAATGTCATACTACACTAATTTTCCCTATTTTCTGTATTTCAGTGCAATTCACAGCACCTGTCCGTAAGCATCATATTTGTTTCTTCTTTGTGAAAATTTTAACATTTGTCCTATGAGGTTTTAGGGCCTAATCTTCCCTGATTTCTTGAAACCAACTTTCTTGACTCCCTTAACATTCCCTTATAGCTTTCAAAGAGGCAATGCATAAAATCAAGAAACCACAAACTTCACAGTCTGATTAAAAAAAAAAAGAAAGAAACTAAAGAGGCAGTTTTAATGACAAATCATCAAGGGAAAAAGGTATACTACTCTCCAAGGAAATGAGAAAATATGCAGCAAGTAACATAGAAGCATTACAAATTAATAGAGAATAAGTCTTTCCCAATCCTCTGAAAGATTTCAAACATCATTAAAAAAGGAGGGAGGCCTTGATTTTTGTATGTCTCCTATACTGTGCAACAGGTAGCCTGCTTGAGGATTGTTAGACAAGCAACCCTTGATCTTCTCAGGGTTCTAAGACTTCCTCTAAAGTGAGTGTTGGGGAATGGCTATTTCCTTCACATTGGCGAAGCATACTGAGTTCTCTCTTGCTTTCTTCTCAGCTGGAGCTACAGGACCAATCAGTAAGTTTGCCGATTCTCAATTGTGGAACACTTTTCTACATTGTGTTAAGGATCTTCCCCTGGCTTCCACAGTGGGATTTCAAGGGTTTAGAGTTTCATTTTCTTGGCCTTTTTGTTTTCCTCTACCAGGGACTTCAGTAAGTAAATGGTTTGTGAACATGCATTTCACTGATAATACACAAACTATGAGATAAGCCCTTGGAGAAGGTTCCCAATTACACATAGGATTTTTAAAAGCACAGTGACATGGGAAAAAGTTAAGTAATCAGAGAAAGGAATGAAATTTAAATTTATGAGGATTTTCTAATCCTCTACAGGGGTTTAAATGGACAAAAGTGCTGAATTCTTGAACTTTTGCTACTCATCCTCTCAGTGGATCCACTAGATGGGTCTATGTATTTGCTTGCCATAGCATCCCACCAATAAAATCAGCTGCCCAGCTACAGCTGATCTGTACTTTACTGGTACAGATTCTTACAAGGAAAACCACATAAATAAGAATGTTGGTCTCCAGAGCCTGAAGCACCTACTGATTTTACTTACCTCTTTTCTCTTTTATTTTCTTTTCCCAGAGTTAACTCAAAAAACCATTGGTAAGTCATCTAAATTTCAAATTGCCACTTTGTTTTTAGTACTTAGAACATCAACTTTTTTCACCTCAACGATTTATGCCCACAGACTCAAGGATCCAGCGCTTCCATCGTGTTATTATCCCACCCACAACTCCTCTAGGTTGGACTCACCCAGGTTCTGCCATAAAAATTGTGAAGCTGAAATACAAAGTGAAAAAATTGGACTCACCCAGGTTCTGCCATAAAAATTGTGAAGCTGAAATACAAAGTGAAAAAATAACTTTCAGGAATGATCCTGCCTGAGCTACTTAGCTCTTCAGAGCCAATGTATAATAAAAATTTTAAAAACAGCATTCAACTTCTTGCTTTTCATGCAAATAACATTTTAATTATTAGATTATTTAGATTATTTTAATTTTATAAAATAATGTAAATTTTAAGTTTCTTGTCATGTCTTCTTGTTCTGAAAAGTTCCTTACAAGACAATTAGGTTCCATTTTCACCAACTTTTAGCAATTTTCTCTAATACATTTTTTCAGAAAAACATTGTAAATAATGGTTATGTTCCAAGGTATAACTGTTCACAACTACATGTTTGCAAACTGGAATGTGTATTTATATAAATGATTACAGTTTAATTCACAAAATGGATTATAATTAACAAAAATAAAATGTAATAAATTATAAAATCAAAAAGCATGATTTGTAGTTTCTCTATATTCATTTGATAGAATGAATGAGTCCTATATCCTGCTGCACCACAATGCTGGCCCCAGGAATATCTTCTTAATAGGTATTTATAGGTCTCCCAGTTCAGATGCAATCTACAAATCAAAGCCCATTCTTACATAAACAATGCTGCCAAGTAATATAGTTGGCTTTCAATCTTTATCAGATTGCCAGGGGATCACAGCTGGAAAATCAACCTAACAGTCAGACCTCATTAAAAACAGGGTTTTGTTAATCCTCTGCTGACAGATTATAAAGCTAATCAAAACAGCAGTCACCCAATAAGTTAGAAGTGGTGATAAAGAGGGGCTGAGTCCTTACCTCCTATACTAAAGCCTACCTCTGGAACAGAAAGATTTTAGTGCAAGTATTATCCCTGAGAAAGCATGATCTTCTATTTTTACTGACAGGAAGGGAAAGTACAAAGTTTTCACTTTAATATTGTTTCAGTTGACATGGATCATACAATAATCCTCACTTCAGGCTGAAGTATTTCTTTTATGGTATAAAATATGTATTTTATGCCATACTTAACACAGCTGGGTTAGTTCTCCATAATAATCTCAAACCTGGTATCACTTCTGCCCTAGTCTACTTCCCAAAGGCCTACCCTTAGAATAAACATAATATGCAATATATTCTTCAGATGAAAGCCCTACTAACATGCCAATTTGAATTCCTTTATAGTGCAAACTCCAGGACCTATTGGTAAGTTGCCAGTATCTACTCATCTCTAGTGGCTTCGTATTATGTATTAACGACTTTGGCTCGAACTGATTTGTTTCAGGGTTAAAGATACAGTCACATTTCTCAAACTCTGAACAATCAATCATATTTTAGAAAACAGAAATTCCACTGCTCTAAAGTGCATACTAGGCAGTTTAACTTTTTAAAATATTAATGATTCAAAGCAAGAATGTCACAGAAAGAATCAGAAGGATTTAAGAAATGAGCAAGAAGAAAAAATAGGGATGGCTGAAGGAGATAAATATGAGTGCTATGAAGGAAAAAGCATTGACTAAGATGAGTAAAGGAGTAAAATTAAGAACTTCACCTGTAATGAAAAGCAATAATGAGGTAGTTATCCTTCCAACTAAAACATGGATGCAATCTCCTAGAGGAAGATCTGGTTCTTATGGAGAGGCTATAATATAGAAACAATACAATTAAAAAAGTTAATCTTGAATATTCAGGTTTAGTAATTTTTGTGTAAATAATTTTCACAACTTTACTTTGAAAAGCATCATATGTGTTTTTATATTCAACCACAATAATTTGTTTCTATTTTTAGTACAATATACTGGATCCAGTAGTGGTAAGTCCCATAAATCCTCCCTTGTGTTTCCTCATCTTCTTCAGTGTCTACAAGGTCCATTCCCCATCCTACCTGTGTCTATTTGTGGTAAGAACAGCAGTTAAAGACGTGTTTCCATGTGTCCCCCTTTCCACCTGCTGAGTTCTCCAGAAATTTTTAAGAAAAAAACTAATGATGGTCTCTATAACAAATCTAGAAAATTCTCTAAATAGAGAAGGAATAATAATGCATTTTTCTAGTTCTTGACTGCTTTGTACTTTATAAAAGGCTTACCCAGAGATAGTTGAGACAATGTAGAGAAAATGAGAAAGCAGTTAATGTGATGCCTCTGGCTTTGGTATTTTTGTTCAAGATTACTTTGGCTATTCAAGAGTTCTTATAATGTCATAGACATGTGGGGATTTTTTCTAGTTTTTGTGAAGAATCTCATAGTATTTTGTTGAAGACTGCACTGAATCTGTAAATCACTTTGAATAATATGAACATTTAATAATATTAATTCTTCCAATTCATAAACATGGGTGATTCTTCTATTCTTTTTTGTGTCATTGGTTCAGAAGTTTTATTTTTTTTTTGAGAGTGGACAGAGAGAGAGACAGAGAGAAAGGTCTTCCTTTTGCCATTGGTTCACCCTCCAATGGTCCGCCGTAGCCAGCGCATTG